TAATGGAGGAGAGATAGAGAGAGAAACAGACAGAGAGAGAGAGAGAGAGAGAGAGAGAGAGAGAGAGAGAGAGAGAGAGAGAGATTCTTGTGCCATGTACCCCTCTGGATTCTAAATACAGTCAGTCTCATATATCTGTAGGTTGCACATCTATGAATTCAGCCAACAGAAGATAGAGATTATTAGAACTGAACCTGTATAGACTATTTTTATCATTATTTCTGAAACAGTATTGTATGACCACTATATATATAGTATTTACATTGTATGAGATATTATAAACAATCTAGAGATGATTTAAAGTATGCAAGAAGATGCATATAGATTATATGCAAGTATTATACTACCTTGTGCACTACTACTTTGTGTAAGGGACTTAAGCAACACTAGATTAAATATCCATGACAAGTCCTAGAACTTATTCCTACGGATACCAAGGGATGACTGTATTTTTCAGTTCAGATTTGTGTATGAACCTACCAAGGTATCTGACATCTATATGTTTATATCTTACCAGGTTTTAAAGTTGTCCTGTCCAAAGTACATTTAGTTTACTATTTTAAACTACTATACCTAGTACCATGGGAAAAACTGACATTGGAAGTAGTTCCTGTGGATAAAAAAAATAGTGGATATTTTCAAAGGAAAAAGGAAAATAAAGAGCAGGCAGGAATCAGAGCTCAGGGCAGGGAAAGGACAAAGAATTCAGGTCTCTGAGAGAGTCATATCCCAGCTGGTGGAGTATCATATTGAAGCCTGAGTCTGAGGGTCAAGGTTGGAGTATCATTTTGTAGACTGATTTCTCACTTTATACTCTGATTCTTTGCAAGTGTGTCTGTGTATGTTTAGAGCTATAAGTAGATTGGAAGTCCTTGAGGGAAGCCATAGAAGGAAGAGCCTAGGGATTGCTCCAGCCCTAGTCTTTCACTCTTTGCCTGGGAAGGTAGGTTTAATAATGTCTTTGTTATAATCTGGTTTCAGTACAATGAGAATGCTTTATTTCTCCGTGGAGTTTGTTAAAGTAGGATTTTTGTCATCTACAGACATAGACAAAATAATTGTTTGAACATGCATAAATATGTAAAGTCACATCAACTAAGGCAATCATAAAACATGTTCAAAAATGTGCCCACCAAGAATTACAACAGGGGTATAAAAAAGCATGCTTGTGTATTCTTTTTCCATAAAGAACACATTAGAGAATAAATTAGCATGGTAAATGGTCTCTTTGAAGGTACAATAACTATTGTTTCCTTATTAAATCCAGTTTTTCAATTAAAGAGAGACTCACTGATCCACACTATGGTTGGAAGGTCCCAGGGAGAATTTCTGAACTTGGTAGATTAGCAAAATACTACAATTGGGGAGAAAAACCATGGCACAGATTCCCAGAGACTAGAAAAATGACTGTTATTGTGTGCCTTTATATTTGATAACTAGCTATAATTTTTAATTATTGAAATGCTTCATAAAGACTCATAAGCATGCTTTTCTAAAAGTAATGAAAGGATAAAGACAAGGATTTAATTTACTGAGCACCTACTAAGTACTGGATACTCACTTTACTACTATCTATCTTGTTTTGCCATGACAGTATTATAATTTTCATTATCATAGCCACTATTGTTATGCCCAGTGTACAAAAAAGGAAAAAATTCTGAGTCCCAGAAGTATGAAATCATTTCCCCGAGTCAGCAGAGCTTATAGGTCGGTGAGCTCATGTTTAATTTTCTGTTTTGAGACAGGATTTCACCATACAGTTCAGGTTGACCTTGAACTCATTTTGTAGCCCAAGCTGGCCTTGAACTCACAGTGATCCTCTTGCCTTAGCCTCCCAGTACTGGGATCACAGGCATACACCACTATCTCAGGCCTAATTTTTTTAATATCATAGCAAAGGCTTAGTCTTAGTTTCTGTTTTGTATGTCAATTTAGAAAGGAATTCTCTTCATTTTCAAGGGGGTGTTATGAACACTATTGTAGACCAAATTGTCATTATGATGTGTGCTTTGGTGACAACAGCAAAATAAATCACAACCAGCATAGGAATTCTTTCACGTGACAGACTGTGTAAGGACTCACGATGCCACACAATATGCCACTTCCAGGGAGCCGGAGTAATAGCTCCCTTGTAAATCAGTTATGAATTACTCTAAAGAAATAATGTAATGATAAAGGCTGTTTTGCGGATCCTCCTTATAATGGAGTGTGATCCAAATCTGCTTAAGATCACACACAAGGCCTGTTGGCTCATTTAGTCAGCAACAGTGAGGAAGTCCCAGACATTTTACCTACACAGTAAGATTTGATTTTTTGTAGACTTGAGTTTGCTAATATTATGCTTAACTTGCAAATAAGAAAATTGACACCAAAAAGTTGAGCAACTTGTTCAATGTCAAACAGTTGCTAGTACATAAATGGTACACTCCCAGGTTTTAACTGTTTGTTCTCCAATTCCCTGTGTCTTATACTTTACTATGATCCTGTCCTCATGAAACTTTCAGTCTATGAGAAAGATTGACATGTAAACTAATAGGTAAGGCAAGATGATGAAATAGGGATATTATTCAAGAGATGTCTTAGTCTATTCATACTGTTCTAGCGTAATACCCGAGGGTGGGTAATTTATAACTAAGAGACACTTTTTCTCACAGTTCTGGAGATAGGAATGTCCAGAATCAAGGCACCAGCGGTCTTGGTGTCTGGTGAGGAGTGCTCTCTACTTCCAAGGTGGCCCTTGTTGCTGTACCCTCTGGAAGGGGTTAGCACTGTGAAGGATATAAGGAGAAGCCCACCCCCACCCAAGCCCTTTTATAAGGCACTCACTGCCTTTTGAAAGTCCCACTACTTAATACTTTGCATTGAGGATTAAGTTTCAACATGAATCTTGACAAATATTCAAACTACAGCAAGGGAGAAGCAAAATTCAGAAACAGTTCTGAGTAACTGGACAATATTTCAAGAAGAGCCTCTAAGCAAGAGAAAAACCTTTAGAGAAAGCAAGAGAAGAACATTCTAGGTTGAACAAACAACATGACAGAAAGCATGGGGGCATCCCTGAGGCCCACAACACGATGCACAACTAGAGTGTTGGGTTCATGTTGGAATATAGTAAAAAAATAAAGTTGACACAGAGTATGTCTCAACTCTGAAGGATCTTGGATGCCATACAAAGGAGCTGGAGTAAGTCTATACTGCTTGGGTGGTTAAGATTGTTGAGGAGGTGAGTTACCTGATTTATAGGTAACACTAGCAATTGGAGTTAGAGTTAATAGGAGCCTGTTGTGGTTGTGTAAGGGGGTAGGACAGCCAGACCAGGAGCAGCAGGAATGACACCAAAGAGTGACACCGTCTCTGTGAGGGAGATTTTACAGTAGAAACTTGGTGATGGTCATGTGTGAGTAGAGAAGGAGGAACCGGAGTCATGTCAAGGTGTCTAGGATCGATGATGGAACAGAGGGAAATATCGAAGCACTGCTGTTGGAGAGAGGGAGCCTGGAAAAATAAAACCAGGAACACACTGTGTATTTTGTTTCCTCACTACTGACTGGCTTAACTATGATTGTGATAGTCATATTCTTAAAATCAGAATAATTATATTCTGAAGAATATAACAATAATTACATATATTATATATTCTTAAGAATATAAGAATATATATTATATAAGAATATGAGAATAATTATGTTCTTAAAATTATATTCTTACATTTCTTAAAACCCAGTGTGTGAAGGTTGTTCCAGTTTTGAGTAATACTCTTAATAGTTGCTGAATCATTTGACAGAAGTATATTATAAATGACAGGTTTTGAAAATTACGTTAATGATAGTGGGGTGCCTGTAAGGCTTTCTCTGGTGTTCTCTTGGTATTGGAAATGAATAATGCAGATATTTTTATTCCAGGTAGTGATGATTCAAGTCGCTCCTGTGGATGACCAGCTTCCGCAGGAGACTCCTGGAGTTTCTCGGCATTTGGTTGTCAAGGAAACAGAGGCGGCCTACATAACTAAGAAACATCTACATTTCCTAGACCCAGAATCACATGACGGGGAGCTGCTGTACACAATAACAACTCCTCCATTTTTCTCCTTCAGGCACAGGTATCTCTGAGAAGTCATCTTACAGTCCATTAGTTCTACAGCTGGAGGGTCACATGTGTCAATAGCACTATAATTCGATTGCTTCAGTGGCCAGACAAGAGATTATACGAATCCAGCATTTGTTTCATCTCAGATTTTCTCATACCACCTTTCAAAAATTGTATTAATGAATAATCTGCAGCTTGTAATGTTTTCAACACAGGTAGACTAAAAACAGTTTCAATTCCTATTTTTGAAAGAGAATGCTTATATTTATTTTTAGTAAAATTTACTGCAGTCTTCACAATATTATTTTTAGATATCACGGACCACAAAATGGCCATATTGTATGATCTTATTCCAGAGAAGTGGAGTGACTCTACCTCAGACTAGTCTCATGTACAGAATAGCAAGGAAACATTTTTAAGATTATGATTCCCTTCCATGATGACAGAAATTTGGGGCATACTTTTTGCTGTCATGATGAGGACGGGATTGATGATGCTGAGCAATACTAGAAGCCTTCAGCATAAAAATAGAACTTAAGGATGGAACATATAATTTCTTCTCATGATGAGGTCTTTTAGTCATTGCAATTTTGGTTAGGGGCTATTCAGTTTAATTTTTCCTAGCTAGCAAATTAGCTGATGCATTCTCCTGTATTTCTCTTTAGACATTTGGATGCTGGGAGGCTATTCATGGTGGACAGCATACCAAAGCTAACTAAAAACCCTGCAGCCTTGGGACTGAAGTCATTTACTCAGGTACGATGGTTTGTGAAAATATTGACAAACATGGGGTAAATATCCTCTGAGAAGCTAGGGCTAGTATTTTCCTGATAATATTGGCTGTTGATATCTGCCAGAAATGCTTGATATCTTTATTTTTTCTCGTTGCACATTTCCCATAAGCATGAGGCATCTATTTGAAAGTGTTTCTATCAAGTTGGATAAAATGTCAAAATCTTATTGCAATTCAGTACGGCTTTTTGCATTGTTTTACCAGCAGCACGACTCTCATTTGGAGCCTCTGTGTTTATGTTTTTATTCCAGTAAATTCAGTTCATTCGGTGATCTACAGTATTTCCTGGGTTTGACATAACAAAGTACCACCGTGTGAGACTTATTTTCTCATAGTTCTGGAAGTTGGAAGTCTGCCATCATAGTATCCCAGGGTTGTGCTCCTTCTGAAACCCTGTAAGGAAACTCCTGTGCTTCTTTTTCGCTGCTGGGGGCTTTCCAGCAACCTTTGGCGTTCCTCGGCTTGTGCACACACAGGAGTAACACAGCTCTGTTGTCAGGTGGCGGTCTTTTCCCCGTGTGCCTCTCTCCTCCTGTTATAAGGACACTAAACACATGTTGGGTTACGGGCCTCTCCTACCCCAGCATGACCTCACCTTCAATTTGTAATGACCCTATTTTTAAATGACGTGACATTCTTCGATACTAAGGGTTAGGACTTCAGCGTATCTTTTTCTGGTGGACACTTTTGCCACATTTACTACTTTCCAAAACCCTTCACTGTGCCTACTTCAGTGGATTCCACCTTGCTGACTACATAGGAGTCGCAGTAAGGATGATGAGTGTGTAGGCTGTGGTTTGGGGCTAGTTATGCACAAATTCTCCATAGTTAGAGATTGTAAATCAGTATGTCAGTCCCAAGTGATAACTACTATTACCTTATTCACTTTGCAAGCAGAGGCCTAACAGGTTTAAGCAGGTTGACCAACATCACACAGCTGTTCTGCGGTGGAACGGGGTTGAAACACAAGTCTCCTGTCTTTACAGAGTGGGCTGTCTTCAAGCACTTCACATGTTTACTTTCTTTTCTCTCTGCAATACTGAGGATTCAACCCAGGGATTTTGTACTGAACTCTATCCTGAGCACTTTTTAAATGCTTTATTTTAAGACAGGATCTCATTAAGTTGCTAGGTTGCTTAAGCTGGGCCAGAACTTGGAATCTCCTGCCTCAGCTTCCCAGAGTACTAGGATTACAGGTGTATGCCTCTGTGCCTGGTGACATATTTACTTAATTTCTTTTATCCTTTTTCCTCCTTATAGGTAGAACATGTGATTCATAAAATAGATCTTTGGAAATCTTTAAATTGATGATGGTGGCATTTAGAGTTTATTATCAGTTAACATGACGGTTCTCTTGAACCTTGGTCTCTGAAAGTTTCTGATCCTTGCAAATCAACACTCACATGTCCATCTTGATCTGCTTTGCAGCATGCTGTGAACTATTTGAAAGTGGCCTATATGCCGCCCATGGAAGATATAGGCCCCTATCCTCGGCAGGCCCAGTTCACATTTTCCATCAGTAACCAACATGGTGGCACTTTGCATGGAATCTGTTTTAACATTACGATTCTCCCAGTGGACAATCAGGTTCCCAAGGTATGTACAGTTTTCGACATGGAGGATGACAAGAAGAGAAAGGAGAAAGGGCTCACTTTTTAAATTTTCCAGCTAGTGTGTGTTAAAGGTGTGGAGGGGAGAGAGACACCTGTGAAAGCCCTATACAAGCAACCGTGGCTGTGTATTCCCTCCTGTGGAATGAGCAGGAAGTGAGGGTAGAACAAAGGATTTGAAAGCGAGGGGAGGAGGTGTTGCTTGAGGAACTTGGGGGCAGAGAGTGGTTTTGTTTCTCAGGAAGGACCGTGGAGACCACAGAGCTTTGTTCTTCTGTGGCTTCCTGCTGTGCCTCCTGGTGAAGGCCTCACCTGTCAGGCGTGACACTGTATGGGGAAAAAAATTGAGGGGAGGGACGCCTTCACCTCCTGTAGGACTTCTGGCTGAAAGTAGAATTTTCCAGTTTGTGAATTTGGCATTGTTTTCAAAGCTTTATCAAAATCTCTTTCATTTCCTTTTTTTCTGCCGAGTTTCACATGTTGCTCAGAGGAAGAGGATTAAATTAGAGGTCTCTTAGCAACCAGAAGGGCTTATTTGTTCTCCAACCACGCTACCATGTAATCCAAAGCAGCCCTTTAATTTCCAAATGAATTAAGATGGCGCTTTTGCCCTCCTCTGTCCTACTGCCCACTGTTTATGTAAATCTTAAAGGACTTGAGTCTTTTGTTAGAACCAAACTGTGAAGAGAATGTGTGCTAGCTGGTGTATCTTCTTCCTGAGGCTGACACTCACACTGACAGTTCGGTACACTGTCCCTCCTGCCCTTGCAGAGGTGCTACACTTTATTAGTCAGCTGTTAGTGGGTTCATTTCCCCCTCAGAAGTGTAAAGACACACGAAAAGTCCCCACTCATTATGAGCCAAACAGGCCTAGAGCCTACCTGAGCCTTCATCCTAAGAAACAAGGTCACTTTCTCTAGGCACCTACCTGAAAAATAGTCAGCCCTCCAGTTCTCTTTCCTGGTCATTTTCACCATCCTTATACCTGCCTAAGATTAGAGAGCTTAGCTGAGGGCCCCAGGGGTTTGCTCAACATGCACAGTGGTCTGATTGGTTTAAACACTAATGTAAAATAACAAATTTCCATTGTTTAAGCTTGAAGAGATTTCCTATCAAGTCTGACTTTGGGTTGTCTTAAAGAAGTGGGAATCCTAGCAACATTGAGTCTGTGTAGCCCATGAAGCTGTGAGGTGGGGGCTGTTGGGCCACCAAAGTTCCCGCCAGCTCACCCCACTCCGTTTTATCACCCACTGACCTCTCACACTGGTGAGCTTGTAAACCCTGGTAGAAGATACACCAAAGAGCTCACACCAAGGATTCTAAATCAGTTCCATTCACTGACACTGTTCCTGGTAGAGGATAGGTTGTATTCCCTGTGGTGAAATGGACTAAGATATTTCTGGAGTTAGCCAGATTAGATTTTAGTCAGACCATCCTTCTCTCTGTATGAGATTTGGACCATGAAATGGCTTAGCATCTAAAGAAGCCAAAGCTCTCTCCAGAACAACTGTGGAGAAACATTTTATCCAAAGGAGTCCACACCTCTTGCTAGAGAAGGATGCTTTAGGGAGGAAAGGATAAAGGGTGAAGGGAAGAGTTATCTTCACTTGAAGGCAGGTAGAATAGTTGAGACGACTTGGGGCTAAAATAGCGTGATGGCTTCTCTCTATTATTTAGAGTGCAGAGGCAAATGAAACAATACTGCAAAGAACCAAAACTGCTAGAAATAAAATTAAATTAGTAGCTTCGGTGAAACCGGCCACAGGAGTGGTTCCATGGTGTGAAATACCCACAGAGAGGGAGGCTGAGAGGTAGTCACCAGTGGGTATTGTTCAGGCGTGCTCTCCTGAAGTCCTGTGGAACTGAGGCCTGGGGCTGAGGAGTTAATGATTAGTAACTGGGGGGTAATGAGCTTTATCTTGTCTGTTGTTTGAAACTTGCTCTAAAAGTGGTGTTTAAATATCATCAAATGTAGTAAGAATATTTTGTCACATCTTGAGGCACTAATTTGGTGTCACTCAGGAAAACGATGGTAAATGTGGATTTGGTCCGTACTCCTCTCTGAGGAAAGGCTCTGGGTCTTTTTTGCTCCCCGCTACAGTGAAAGAGGAGATGAGAGGGCCAGGTGTAGGTGTGGTGGTGCATGCCTGTAATCCCAGCATTCTGGAGGCAGAGGCAGGAGGATCGTTGCGAGATCAAGACCAGCCTGGGCTACAAAGTGAGCTCAAGGCCAGCTTGAACTGCATAGCGAGACCCTGTCTCAAAAAGACAAAAAAAAAAAAAAAAAAAAAAAAAAAAAAAAAGAGGAGACGAGAAGAGGTAGGGGTGACTGTAGGGAGCGCAGTCTATCCTTTCTGTTTTCCCTTTTTGGCGATCCTTTATTAAAGAATAGAAGGCAGGAGGCTCAGAATTGCGTTCTCCCGCATCCTCCTCACTTCCGTGTCACAGGGGCTGCCCATGGGACATGCAGCGGTGGGCTGAAGCTCTACTCCACTCTGCCCTGTGCGCGGGAGGAAACAGTAGACTCCTGACTGGAGGCTGCAGCTTCCACTTGCTCCCTCCCTTTTCCTCTGCCCAGGAGGTATCGCTCCTGCCTCCTTGCTGCCTTTTACCAACTCCTCCCCCAGGTGCATTCTCCTTTCTGGGAGTGGCAGTTGCACTGAGGAGAGCCGGTGTGTTGCAGGAGAAGAGCATGGTGTCCTCACAAGGGCAGGGTGCTCACCCCAGCCATCTGGGAGACGCTTGGGGCTTGTGATTTGGTGCCTGCTTGCTTTGACTTCTGTGTAGTTGTACCGATTTGGGCAAATGCACGCAAAATTAACAGACTGTCCTATGAAAAGTCTCACAGCCTAGTATATGTGTATGTGCCATATAAATCTCCAAGATGAGGATGTTGTACACAACTGTGTCTCAGATTTATTCGATCATGGAACACTTAGTGCCCACTTCCAGTGTGGTGATAAAACAGTCCAAAGCACTTTAATTTGCTTTTGACTTGCAAAGGAATTATGAGCTGGATACTAGATTTTCCTATTATTGTCCTTGTGGTTTTAAGTCTAGTGTTGACTAAATTTATTTCCTGTTTAGTCTTCAATTTCTAATCTTCAGTTTCCCTTTTCTAGTTCCATCTCTCAAACACCACAATTGAAACTCTCATTAACTTCCTCAGTCTTTAAGAATATTTAGGGCAGTCCTTTTTTCAGGAGAATATGGGATAGTTCTGTTTACAGTGTAGGTTAAAGTATATTGTGTTAAACAGCGAAGGGAACAGACAAGATGATAAAGGTTCTTATCCCTTTGGTTTAGCACTGCAGATAGTAACCAATTTGATGGCTGTGCTTACTGTACAGGTTCTGAGATAAATGAAATGTCGAATCTTTCACATTTATGAACTTGCCTTGTTTATTTGCATACAGTAATGCTCAGAATTGGAGATATTTAGTAAGAATGTTTTGGCCAAGTTGTGTAGCTATGAACTTCTCTCTTTACCACACACTTGGAAAATTATTTGCTGTAGGGAGATGGTATTGAAAGGTTTATAGTGATTAATGAGCTCTGTGTTCAGGATTCCTCAAGGGCAAGTCTTTGAATCTTTCCTTCCTGCTCTCTAGGTACTCACCAACCACCTGAGAGTGACTGAAGGAGATCACGGAGTCATCAGCCCAGAGCACGTTCTGGTTTCCGACATGGATACCCTGCTGGATGACATCCGCTTCTCCCTGCAGGGGCTGCCTCTACATGGAAGGGTGGAGCTAAATGGATTTCCTCTAAACTCAGGGGATACATTTTCTTGGGAAGACCTCCAGTCCTTAAAAGTTAGGTTAGAATATTTCATGGCTTTTTTCTTTACATCTCTCGATCAATGATGAGGCAGGGTAAGGAAAAGACATTTGTACAGTTCTTTCAGAGATACCAACATGCCATTTACTAATTTCAAGAGTGAATTAAAAATTAGAAATGATGAAGTTTTTCTTTTCCTCTACACAGTTGCTTTTCCTTTGGCTTGCTGTGCTAGTGGGGATGCTCTATGGATACCTAAATAACAAAACTTAATTACTATGAACATTAAATTTGCTGTAACTTCGCATATCACAAGGGGTAACAATCAAACAAGATGAATAGAGACTGAACTAATCTGTGAGGCTAATATACATAATTGAACTCTGAGGTCTAAGGAGAGCCAACTTCGTAACTCTGGAAACTCTGGGATAGAGCTTTATCAATCAATATCAGTAGGGCAAACTGTTATCTTGTTCTGTGGGGATAAGGGTGTGTAGGTGAAGGATAGGTAGTCTGGGTAAGTGGGCCATAGAGTAGTACTCAGGTTTCTAAGAGCGAGGGGTGGAGAAATCTCTGCCTCATGGTTCTATGTAGTTCTCCTTCCCTTAAGGTTTTAAATTTCCTGTATCTAATACAGTTCTGCAAGACATTTTCCTACAAATTTAGTAAAACATCTCTGAAAAACAATACAAACTACTAAAAAGAATGATCATGTAGAAAGACAGTCTAATTTTTCACTTATAAACTCAAATTATAAATGGAAATCTTGACCCTTTTAATAAATATAGTAGGAAGCATTAGGTGTAATTGACTAGGAATTAAGATTTATGCTCAAGAGCATCTGTTTTATCCTGACTGTTTAGCTTCATTCTTGACTTATAGTTCCACATTTCTTGACCTCTTTTCACCACATACCTATTTCTACTAAAATTTCCTTTTTTCCCCTTCCTTTTCATCTTGAGCTTCCAGGTCTTAGCTACATATTAAGACAGAGAATTCTGTTCAGACATCTCTTACTAGGGAGTCAGGAATGCTAGATGGGAAAAAAGTACCAAAACTTGCTAGAACGACATGTTCAAGCACTCTGATTAATTTGCAATTAATTTTATTTATTTTTTCACAGTCATCAAACCTGGCAATGCAGAGGATCCCATTCTCATAGTTAAAAACTAAGTCCACAGGGTTTCCCAAGGTCACTCATTATCCACACGAAGGAGTCAGGTTTTGAAAGAAGATCTCCCTGATTCTGCAGTCGTGCCTTTGGACATGTACTTTTAGTTCCACTTGAGCATTTAGTGGTATTAATGTAGTGAAATAGGGTTAGCAGGTCATCACTCATCAGTCTACCTTTGATGAAAACAGCAGGGAGCGTAGCAAACAGAGCATAGGGGGCTGTGTGTGAGGAGACTGGGGTTCCCACAAATGGGACAGAGTCCCATTCCTGAGTTCTTACTTAGCCTATTGGTGAAGACTAATCCCAAGTAAAATAGTCTTGATTTTTTTCCCCATTGATCAATACCTTATATGTTCAATATCCTGTACTGAATTTAATGCAACTTTTATTTTTACTTTCTAGGACTTATTTCCATTTCTTAGTACCTGGAACAGATTGTTGAAAATTTGGCTCAATTAACTCAATAGCTATTCAGAATGTACTGGGCATCTCTGTAGTGGACTACAGTCCATGGAAAGCCTAGAGTCAGACAATCCTTCCAGAGACTTGGCTGAGAATTAGAGGAAGATAGGGCCAAGGTGAGACCAGCGAAGGGTATTTTTAAATCTGGGAGAGGTTTAAGACTCTCTTAGGTTGAGAGGAAGAGCACTAACACATGCAAGAGGGGAATGATAGAAGGGAGGCAGTACGTCATTCATGGATCAAGGTTTAGAGAAGCGCTGAGTAGGTACAGAGCATGAGTAGAAAGATCAGCTTTGAAAGTGGGAGAGGGATTGATCAGATCCACACAGCTCTTGCTTTTCCACTTTTCCTGCTTTTGCTGTATTTTGGGGTCTCTCTGACGCTAGCCAGTCTTTAAGCAGGCAGAGCTGTGCAAAATGGTTCCCATTCTCACAGGATGTTTGACGTGCTGCTTTTTGATTGGGGACAAATCATCAACACATGCAGCACTTTTACCCAGAGTGGAGCAGCTTTACATTGAGGCTTATTTGTGTAGTTAAATATGTGACTTCATGATTATGCTATTTTTTCTTATTAGTTAATCAATTTATTAATTTAGTGAACACATGTCCAAAGCCATGGAGTAGCTCTTGGGTCAGGCATCATCTCAATTTACTCTCGCAGTGTTCTTGAAAGATTGGTTATAAATATTATGCCCACAGGTATCAACATGATGGATCTGAAATTCTTCAGGATGACATATGCTTACAGGTCACAGATGGCACAAACTGGGCAGAATTTGTTCTACATGTTGAGGTGAGTAGAAAGTTTCCCTCCTTGTGTCATATAAAAATAAAGCTTCTGTTTTGGAAACTTCTCAGGGCCCCTAATATAACTTGAAATACACAGAGTCCAAAGCAAAAGGATTCCTGCTTATATCTTCAGCCAGGCAATAGAAACCAAGATTATATCAGTTAAATGGGCATATTATTCTCTCTCTCTCTCTCTCTCTCTCTCTCTCTCTCTCTCTCTCTAATCCATTTAAGGATATAGATATTTAGACCTCAAAGCCAGATACTTAGCTTTTAAAGTAATAGGTTCTGTGTTGTCTTAGTTACTTTTTTCTCACTGGTGAGACAAAATACCCAGCACCCAAAGTTAGAGGAGGAGAGGTTTATTTGGCTCAGTTTGTAGAGGTTTTGGCCCATAATTGGCTGGCTTCAAGGCAGAGGGGCATTGCAGAGGAGAAACCATTCATTACAGGCAGAAGGCAGTGAAATAGCAAGGCAGCAAGCAACAACAGCAGCCCTCTCTCTGTTCCTTACATTTTATCCAGGCTACCCTTCTTAGGGTTGGGGTGTCCCTAATCCTAGCATTGCAGCATGAATCAACCCCAGCATCACATCCCTGACCCTAGCCCCACATACTCTAACTGCAGCCACCTCTGAAAAGCTCTGCCTATAACTACATGAGACCTTGGGGGACATTTAGACACAAGCCATAACACATGTCTAAATTATGTGTAATACTTTTGAACTGTAGCATTCAGAAATGAATGCTATTATTTAGCAGTTCAGCAAATTAGCCTGGTACTGTATCACTGGGATTTTCATTGCTTTTGGAAGAAGTCATGTATGCAAGTGTATGCAGCTCTTTTGTGAATTTCTGGACCATGGAGCCCTGGCATACAGTCTACTTGAGGTCATTTTTCTCCTTGACAAATAAAGAAACATATGTTCTTACAGCTTTGGTACATGCTGAAAGGACTTCTGTGAACTCTGCCATTTCTCTGTAGAGTGGCTATCAAGGTCCATCAGCATAGCTCATAAGATTTGCAGGTGTTGACAGTACCAAGTAGGGGCTACAGAAAAACTTATGTCCCATGAAGGACCACTAATTATTCACATTATGCTACAGTCTGTCTCTTTTTGAATATTAGCTAGGTTTTTGTGATATGAAGTTATGATTAGTGATAATACTGTGTCTGCAGTATATTTTATAGTTGGTCATTGCTATGGCTTGTGTCTAGATGTTCCCCCAAAGCCTTGTGCATCATGCGGGAGAGGGCATTTTCAGAGGGGGGTGGATCAGGAGTCTGGTGCTGGGATCGAGGGAACGTGATTGCTAAATCAGTCCACTGATTAGTTTGTCCTAATTCTGGCTAGGATTAAGGCTGTGAGTGCTACACCCAGCCTAAGGTGGGTGGCCTGCCTAAAATATAAGGGACAGAAAGAGGGCTAGTGTGATCTCACCTGGCTGCTGGCTGTGGACTCTTTCTCTTCTTTGATGCCCTTGCTGTGCCCTGCTGCCTTGGAGCCAGCCAACTATGGACTGAAACCTCCACAAACTGAGCCGAATAAACCTTTCCTTCCTCTGACTTTGGATGTTGGGTATTTTGTCTCAGCAACAGAAAGTAAACTAACACAGTCATTAATAATATTCACATACCTTTATTTTTTTATTAATTAAGTTTATTGGTACATGTTAGATATACGTAATGACCTCATCCATCATAGGGAATTTGTACCTGTACATAATAAAATTTGATTCTTTTTTACCATTCCCCAACCCTCCCTTTAACCTCTCCTTATTTACAAAAGCTTTGTTTCCATTTTTTTCCTTTTTTCTCATCATTTTTTCTTGTTTCCCTTCCTTCCTTTCCCTCTCTCCCCCTCACCCGTTCCCCTTCCCATTTGAACATTTTCTTATTTCACAATATCTATTATATATTTTGGTCCTTATTTGCACTTTAAGTTTCTCAAACCAGAAAAACAATGTGGTATTTACATATATGTCTGATTTATTTCACTTAAGAGAATGGCCTCAAGGTGCATCCATTTAGCTAGAAATGTCTGAAGCTTATCCTTCTTTACAGCAGAGTAGTATCCATTGTATAGAAAAACTACATTCACAATTGATGGGCATTTGGGCTGTTTCCTAGATTTAGCTATTACAAACTATGTTTCTATAAATATGGGTGTGCCTATATAGCCATTCTCTAACGCTTTTAATTCTTTCAGAAAGATACCACTAAAAGGAATAGCTAGATTGAACAGAACCTCTAGTTTTAGTTTTTTGAAGAATCTCCACACTGATTTCCATGGTGGCTGCACTCCCACCAACAGTGGAGAAGTGTTCCTCTTTTGCCACAGCTCACCAGAATTTGTTATTGGTTAACTTCTTGATAATAGCTGTTCTTTTTGGGGTGAAATTGAATCTCAGCATTATTTTAATGTGCATTTCTTGAATGCCAAATTTTGAACTTTTTTTCACGTATTTTCTTGCCATTTCCACTGCATAATTTGGAAAGTATCTATTTCAGATACCCATTTTTAGATTGGGACTTTAAATTTGGGGGTCTGATATTTTTTGAGGTTTTTAATGTATTCTACATAGTAGACCTTTGAGGAAGATGTGGCTATAATTTTTTTCCCACTCTGTGGGTTATCACAATCTGTTGGTGATTTCTTTTGCTGTGCAAAAAGCTTTTTGGTAAGATGATATCCTAGTTGTTGATTCTTTGTGCTATTTCCTGTAAAACTGGGGTTTTGTTCATAAAGCCTTTGCCTATACCTATGTCTTCAACAGTTTTAACTATTCCAACTTCCAGAAGATTTAGTGTTTCTGTTTTAATATTTGAATCTTTGATCCATTAGTGCATAGTGCAAGATAAGTGTCTAGTTTTAATCTTCAGCATGTGGTGAGCCAGATCCTCAAGCACTATTTATTAAAGAGGCTATCTTTCTTCCAGTGAAAGTGTTTAGCACCTTTGTCAAAGACAAAGTGACTCAGTATGTCTGGAGTTTTTTCTGCATCTTCCAGCCTGTTCCACTGATCCTCAGATCTTGGTTCTTTCTTTCTTTCTTTCTTTCTTTCTTTCTTTCTTTCTTTCTTTCTTTCTTTCTTTCTTTCTTTCTTTCTT